TATATTTTTGCTTACTAATAAAAACTATAAACTTTTTTTATTTCATTATTTGTTGAAGTAGACTGAGTATAAGTTTTAAAGCTAGAAGCATAACTTTTTTTTTAATATTTAAAGCAAGATTACAAAAAACTTTTAACATTATAAATCTTTAGTACAAAATTAATAGCAAAATAGGAAAATTTATAAATACTTCTCAATAATTTATTCATCTATAGTTCAAATTTATTAGTAATTTTAGAAGAAATATTTATCTAAACAATTTTAACCAAAATTGAAAGAAAGTGTTAATATCGTAGAATTTCTTCTCAAGTTAAAGTTAACTTTAATGTTTCTATAATACAAATTTATTGCAAAAATAAAAGAAACTGTTGACGGTATTGTAATATTCTATTACAAATTTGATAGCAAAAATTAAAATAACTCTTTATAACATAATAAAATAAATACAAATTTTATAGCCAAGTTAAAAAGAAACATTATTTTAAAATCTATAATCCACATATTATAGCACAATCAAATTTTTTTTTAAAAGTTATAACAATTTTAATAGCAATTTTGAAAGAATTTGTTCACAATATAAACCCATACATAAGATTAACTAAAAACTAAAAAAAAATTATAATTAATTTATAATTCAAGGTTAATGGCAAAAATTAAAAAACTTTACAATATTTTAAATCTATAATACAAATTTAGTAGCAAATATATAAAAATTTTTTATAAAATTATAACTCTATAGTACATAACCAATAGCAAAAGATAAAAGAAACTTTTTTAACAATAAAGATCTAAATTACAACGTTAATAGAAAAATATTAAGAAAAACTCTTGAGTACAATAATAAAAACTCTTTATAATATAAATCCATAATACAAGTTTTATAGCTAAATTAGAAGAAACTTTTTATATTATTAATCTATAGTACAAAGTTAGTAGCAAAAACTTAATAAACTTTTTTAATATTATAAATTTATAATATTAACACGTAAAAACTAATTTGTATACCGTTCAACAGCCTGAAAAGCTAATAACTACTATAATATTTTAATAATTGACCATCGGTTACCGGTAATTTCTGTAATTTGAATAACTCTTTTCTATTTAAAAGCCTCTTTTGTTTTTAATAGCAATAAAGGCAACTTTTTTTTCGCCTTTCAGTCATTCTCAGTGTGTTTTGAAATTTAACTTTGGTAGCCCTCGAGATGCGAAAGTGGACTAAAGAAATCTTTGAATATAAGTCGCTTTACTCGCTCCCGAGCACTAAGCCCAGCGCGATGGAGCGTTTGTTAAGAACATGTATATAAACAAAAGTGTAAAAGGGGCGTAGTTAGTTAAAAAAGTGATCCTCACTCAGAGAAGTTACAAGAAAATAAGGAAGATCTCTTTAACGTCAGCCGTAAAATATTTAAGTTTCGTCAAATATTAAAAAAAGTTTTAACAAATGTAATTAATCTATAAAAATATTATAGATATTATTAGTTATTCGTGCATATATTAACGTCCTTGGAAAGGTGTAGCATTTCTTTACGGTCTTAAAAAATAATTGAAATTTTTTTAAAATTTTTGATTAAGGCGGTAAAAATCTCGTACGGAAAAATTAAAATAGTAATAATTAGGGCCTAGCTAGAATAAACTACAAAAGTATCGGAACTACATCGTTTCGCTTATTTAAAAAATAATTGAAGTCATCTACAAAGTCAACTTTGTTTAAAAAGTAACCAAAAGCATTTATTATGAATACTTCTACATTCTTGTTCGAGTTAAAAACTATATGCGTAACAAAAAACTTCTGGCAATTCAAATATTATTTCAAAATTATGAGGAATTCAAGATTTTAAATTGATTCCGTTTTTGTCGTTTATTATAAAACTACTTGTCTCCAAACAACTAAATAAGTAAAATTGCTGAGCTTATTAAGGTTTCAAATCGTTATGTAAAAAACTGGAAAAAAAATTCTTTCATTAACTGGTTTACTTATGAGGTAAATCTAATAAGTTATTCATATTTTTTATATATATCTGCATACTGTTGTCCTTTGCTTGCAAATTTCTTGCAAATAAAAAGTAATTCATAAAACTAAACATATTTAGTTAAACAATATTTTATTTGGGCCTTCAAGACTACGAGCAGGTATTGTATTTTAACTTGAGTTTATAAGTACATCTATTTTATAACCCTTAATCTTTTCTTCACTCTGGTATATATTTCTATTTTAATATAATTTTTAAAGTTTCTAAACATAAATCTTCTTCAGAAGTATACGCAATAGGAGTTTTACTAAATTAACAACTTTTACAAGTGATCTTACCGTGTTGAAAAACAATGGTAAATTAAAAGTATATATCCTGATAAAATATAACCATCAAGTATTTCTAATATAAGCAAAAGGTAGCGCAAGAAACTAATTTGCTAAAAAAAAAAAAAATGGGTCAAATGAATGCACCGAGTTGAAAACTTATTTAGTTTTAGTATTTACGAATAAGAAAGAGTTATGAGCTGGCACAAAAAAAAATTTATGAATGTAGGTATAAATTTGTACTTCTTGTGAAAATTGTTCTTCCGTTTATAAAAATTTACACATTTGTTTAAAAAGTTCATAAGTTAGAATTTTATTTTTACGTGTCTTGGGTTCAATTTAGACTTCCGTTAAAAACTATTCTGCCTTTACGCACCTTTATTTTTGCTGAAACTGCATAATATCAAGCCCTTCTCTCTAACTATTCTTTTTTTTTTTGGGTGTTTCCCTAACAATCTGCAACTGTGAGCGAATATTTATAACGAGCTGCAAAACTTTTTTTTACTTATAATAACCGAAAACATTCTTGCTGGAGCGCTAATTAGAGCTCTCGCACTGTGGTTTATCAAATTGATTTTCCTGCTATAAAGCTCTTTTTACAATAAGAAAATCTAGCTTAAGTTTCATCTCAACCAAAAATTCTTATGCTTGAGCGTTGGAGTTCGAGAAATGGTACGTGAGCTATGCGAGTTGATAACGCTAATTAGTATTGAGATAATAATAATTGTAAACTCGGGTACCCATCTTAGGGATGGAAACAAATGTTCCACACCCAATTATGTAATATTAAGAAACTATAATTGCTGTGACAAGAAGTGTTTGGTGTTCTATATGGTTGTTTATAGTGACTACTAAGGAATTTTAAGATAAAGTCAGTAAGCTTGCCTATGGGAGTAACGGATTGGTCGTTTTTTAGAACATTTACTGTTCAATAAGTGTTTAGCAAAAACTCAGTAAGATCGGAGTATGAAGCAAACTCTAAATTAATATTGTTAAAACCCTCTGATTAGTTCCTCTGGACAATGGCGTAAAACCTGAAGCCGAGAAGTTAATGGAACGAGGAAAACTCTTTAAAACATGACAGTTGACTTTAACAAGCTTAACTTAGAGCAAGTAAAGTTATCCATGATCTTAACAATAGTGCTCTTTCTTAAAGGAAATTTCATTGTTAGAAATATTGGAATTCCTTACATCGCTTAAGATAAAAAACAACCCCACTTAGATACATGCGAATGTCATTAACTCTCTTTTAACAATTCTTCGTGCTGGGATTGCTGAAAACTTGTAAAAGTTGTTTTCACCCCTAAAATATAGTATCACACTTAGTTGATAAAGATAGCCTAATTAGTCTTTTGTTATGCTTGAAAAAGGTAAGTTACCCTTAGAGGCTAGAGAAATACGTTTTTAAAAAAGAAATAAATTAACGTTAATCATAACTTTGTACAGAAAAAACTTCTACAATTCAACAGCTTTTAAGGTGTTTTTTTCTAAGCACGAAACTTTAGCCTTTAATGAATGGAAGGTAACAGTGAACGTAATCCTTAATTTTAAAAAGCGTATACTGAAACATGGCTTAAAGGGTTGCTGTACTTTATTAATATATAGCCTGGCAACCAACTGCTGACTAATCTACTTTCTCTCTGCGCCATCAGCAAGAAGAACGGAGGGGCCTTATCATAGCTAGATAGTATATACCATATAGATGTAATAGTACAATATTACCTCTATAAATGAGTTACAGGTTGCCTATACGCGATGATCTAAGCGGAAACCCATAGATTATTACCTTTCAGATATTTATTAGTGATCTGGTTTCCCTTGTTTTCGTTTTAGTTTTATTTTAAGGATTGTTAGCTCTGAATACATAAAAAACAAAAACAAAGAATCGCAAAAAGGGATAATAATTTGTTTTTTTATTGTATTTATTTACGAATATGTTTTCCTTCAGTGTATTGATGTTTATAATTATTTAAAATAATTGCAGATTTTCCTTCAAATTTAAAATATACAATTTGCTTGCTTTCTAGGACTTTATGATTGGTTACCGAGGGGTCCTCAAAACAAATATATTCGTTAAATAGATTAAGAAGACTTTTTTTTAAGTATGTTGAGTTTCCTTAGGGTTTCATACCCCTTTGTATTAAATTAAGGATTCTACTTTTTTAGAAAATAAATCATAATAATAATTAACTACTTTTTACCTGCATATTTATTTTTAAAATGCAACGCAAACTTTAAACTATATACTAAGGGTTAGGGTTAAATTAATTTTAGGGTTATTACATACTGTTGGGTTCAGCTCCACATAACATAAACGTTATAATTGGACATTAAGCATATGAGGGACTTATTATCATACTGCTTGTATTATAGTAAGCTAAAATAAAAATTAGCAGTACTACTTAAACTAATACGCTAATTTGTCGTATTTATAATTTCTTTAACGGAGTTGTATATTTTTAATTATTTTAAAAAAACATTAAGATATAAAACGGTTTAAGATTTTAAATCCTAATTGGTTCAGTTATTATTTACTTCCTGTAGGATGCGTTAACCAGGAAGTCTTCTAAGAAGGATAGAATTTGTTATGTTGATGACGAAAATAGTTAAACTTAAGGTGATGCTTATTTGCTAATTATTCTGAACTTAATATTTAGGTAGCAAATAATTTATTCAGAAAATAAAAACAAACGAAAATCATTAACTATTCGGTCATAATGTTTTCGTGTGTCTCCCCTGGACTTCTATAAAAAGGGTTCTCAGTTGAGTTCCTTAGAAATGATCCGTTATTTGAGGTAGAAGTTTTTCCCCCAGCAAGCTTATTTTTATAAAAATATGCGAGGCCCGCTGCAGCAGCGAGTAAAGCCACTGCCCCACCAACTCCAAAGCCTATATACAAAGCTCGTTCATTGCTTTTTGTAGGGGATGGCGGCGCAGGAGTAGAAGTGGGCCCGATAGTCGAAATACTGACTTCATTAACAAAATCCGGACATACTTTAGCAATTAAAGTATTTACATGATTAGGTAAATCTATATAATTTTCAGAGGTTAGGGTCAAAGCTTCGTTTCCAGTAATTTGGAATAAATCATCATGGAACCCTTGGTGCGAACCGATACCGATCGCTATAATTTTGAAAGGTGGCGTTTTCCCACGAAGTACTTGAGAAAAATTGACTGTATTATTTTTTTCTTGTACCGGTAACTGCCCGTCGGTAATTACCATTATAATCCTTTCTCTCCCTTCAGTATTTTTGCGATATAATATCAACAATACCTGGTAAAGAGCGGAAGCCAAACGGGTTCCACCTTTCATGTCATCTTTAGTATACGTTAAATTATTTAAAATACCTTCAAATAATTTAAGATCGTAGGATGATTGGTCTTTAAAAGTATTTAAATTACGAAACCCGTGATTAAACGTGGCGATAGCAACTCTGATTTTATCTTCCGCTAATTGCATAAGTTTAACTGAATCCAATATAAAACTTTTAACTGTTTCAATTCTTTCTTGAGCAATTTCATAACTTATATTAGTTCCATTATAAGCGATGGAGCCACTCTTATCAATAAGGAACGTAATATCCGCTTTCAGCTCACAAAAGTTAAGATGAACCTTGGGCAAAAACAGAATAGACGCTAGGACAACTATTGTGCTCCACATATTATATGAAAATATAAAAGTTTGGAAGGTTGGCGGTGAGCAATATACAATAAATAATTTGCTTAGTAAGCAAAATGAGATTATATTTAGCATTATTAATGGTTACATAACTATGTGAACATAGCAAAAAACATCTTTCTGAACGTTAAATTGAAGTGATCCAAACACTGCAATTTATAATATTTTATAAACTATTTTAAATTTAAGTTAATAATGTATAGTTCCTTTTTTACAGCAGAGAAAGTCCTGTTAATTTAATTAGTAATCTCATCTTTTAAAAATTTTAAACGCTGACGACCACTATTGTTTTGCATTACGCGATTCAGAGGGACTATAGTATTTTTTTTTGACTAATAGCAGCCCTTAAGTTCAATAAAGTGATTAATAATCGCGTCTTCTAAATTAAAAAAATTTTAATCGCTGATGACTAATTTTTTGAATACTTTAGTTTGTATTATGCGATCTTAGTATTGGAATGGCTGAAGTATGGTCCAGCTCGCGTCTACACAAATACAAGGGAGCGCGTGAAATCTGCTGTAACTTCACGCAATCAAACTTTTTTTTGAGGAATAATCCATTTTAAATTTATTAAGAATGGTATAAGGAAATTGTTTTGTTTCTTTTCTCATTTATACTTTTTTATTAAAATTTATTAAAAAACTTATTTATAATTAGCCTAAACGGCCTAATCCTTTTGATATTTTAGCCTTTTTGAACGATTTTAATCCCTCAGAAGTTTTTACTACTAAATATATAATTAATATAGTTAAGGTCAAGCACTATATAAAGTTAAAAAATGGTGTATAATTTTTACAGTTTCTTTTAAGTATGCACTGTACTGTAATTTACTTAATTAAACTTAAAATATTTTTCTGTTCGTATTAAAAAGCGAGTAACTTAAAAAAAGGGGATGTAACCAAATTAAAATATCTTATTAACAAAGGAATGTTAAATGGAATGCGATGGGAATGCAATAGATTTTTCTGTATAATTTTGTAACAGTTACTCTACTGGCTTTCATAATCAAGCATAAGCGTATGAATCGTTATGTAAGATCTTAATAAATTATTAGTATAATAGTAAATATCTATAATAGGAAAAGGGAAAGAAGGGCCGGTTGTGATATTAGTCCGCGCACCTAACTTCTTAAAAAATTTGCCTTATTTATTTAATATATTTTTTTAAAATATACTTACACACTTTAGAAAACTTAAACTACAAAAATTATACTACTAACCTTATATATTTGTTTAAAATTATTATTGTTATTATTTTTTCTTCCATTTAACTTCTGTTTTCTTTTTAAAAATAGAAATTTATCTTTATATTAATTATGAATTTGACCTCTGAAGAAGAACTTTGAGCATTCATAGCTAACTTGTTGGTTATTACTGAAGAACTCAGGAAAGAGATAGATTCTACAAAGGCAAAAATTCTTGAAGTTACTAAAAAAAACTTAGGACAAAAATATCTAAAGGCAAAAGGGGCCATTTTATAATACAACTAACAATAATAATCTATTTTCGGACTTACAAATTCTAGATCAACAAGCTACTTCCGAAGTGATACTGGAAAATATCGAGATTCTAAAGATTACATAATGTGGGTCTAGTCACGGGGAAGTAGCTAATATTAAGGATAATAGTAGTAGTAGCAGTAACTTTATGACTAATAGTTCCCCTACTGCCGTTATTAATAATACTATGATAGTTAGCAACAACACTAATAGCAATTAAAATATATCCAGTAATAAAAATAGAATATTAATAATATTAGTGATAGAAGTAAATTTTCCTTCGTTGTGGGTAACGACAACTCAAATTAGAGACCTTAGAGGAGCCCACAAAAGCTTTACAAGACACCGTAGACATAGAGATGGGCAACGCTTCTGACAGTGTCCCTCTATTTAATGAAACCACCGTCTACTGCAAACCCCCCCCCCCCTGCGAACTCATAAAGAGAAAACCCCTCCTATTTCCCTTTGCGAACAGAAGAGGCCCCACCTTGTTCAACTTCTACAATCCAAGGGTGCCATCATACCGAGGGCGAGAGATACGCGTCTCGAAATTAAAATATTTCGACAACAACTCAAGTATACCGTGCGACCACAGAGATAATGCGCAAGCAAGGTTTACACCATTTTACCTATCATTTACCTGAAGACAACCAAATAAATTTGTTATTCGTGGTAATTATTGCGAACTCGATATCTCCACCGTGTAGGCGGACCTGCGCGCACAAGGCATTCACTCCCCTTCGAGTGGCACGGATTCACACGGAGGACACTGCCAATGGCGAGCTGAAGAATTGTCCGTTACCATTAGTGCTGGTGCATATACCCAGATGGAGTGACATTAGAGCTGAAGACTATTTCCCATCTTCAGATAAAAATAGAAGAACTTCGAAAAAAGAGTCGCGCTGACCATTGCCACCGCTTCCAAACCTTTGGACACGCTGCAAACTTTTGCGCTGCGGTGCCTCGAAGCGCTAAATGTGGAAGAGTCATTTGACCGCAGAGTGTACCAAATCACGAGACTCACCTGCTAGCTGTTTGAATTGCGGCGAAACATATACCGCTAATTTTCAAGGCTGCAATGCGCGTAAAGCAGCCTGCAAACCGCCAGTCTACTTCGTCGGCGCCAACTACAAACAATACTGTTACCTAGGGGCATCTTACGCGTTTCGTTCGAAGACAATACCCCAAAAATTTGCCCAAAACCCCATTAGGTTCTAAAGCCCCTGACCACGCTTCTACTGCGAAAGCTGAACAGTCGCAGCCGACAATACTGCAGATGTTAGCAATATTAACGACGAATTATCCAGCATGCTTGAATATGTGGAAGGGCTGGAATATGTCTGAAACGGTTTCTAAGTCAAAGACGTACCCCCACATTCGACTCCTATTTTGGGAAGCAAAAGGTCTTCAGAGTAAGAAGCACGAGCTTAAGAAACTGTTTCTACGTGAAAGAAATGCTGTGTGCACCATCAACGAGAAGCACCTCCTTCCTAACGTCGTAATTAATTTATGCAACTTTGTTACGTATCGCCAAGACATAACTTATCCTGCGGCCAGGGCGTGGTGAAACGGAGCATTCGACATAATTTGATATCTATGCCATCTCTACTAAGTGTCGAGGCAGTAGGAATTTCCCTGTGCATGGCTGACCAGGTGCCCGTGTCTGTAATCACTGTTTACAAATTACCTTGGAACTACTTCCGCCCTCCGATTTGGACGCCTTCCTTTGTAGCGTCTCTTCCGCTGTTTTGTGTAGGGATCTTAATTGCAAGCACCCCACACGGCACAGCCGAGTCGATAACTCGAATGGTCACTTCTTGAGACCTATGATGAGCCTTGGCTGTGCGTATTGGGCCCTCAGCAACCAACACACTTGGCTACTACAGGCCCAATGGGCCTACTGAATATTGCCTTTCCCTAAAGATATACGCCATTACAATTCACGCCCGCCCTGCTGGATGAATGCTGTTGCCCTTTTTGAACCCGCCTAAACATGGCTCACACTACTGCCACGACAACTTGTGGTGTAACGTACCGCTCCAACAGCCTCCCTGACGAACTAAAGGCAATTATCTGCCAACGTCGACGTCTTATCCGAGTAGCCATGTGGTCGCAGAGCGCCGAATACAAAATCGCGCTTAATCGACTTTACAGGTTCATTAAAAAAAAGCGAATGAACCATTTTAACAATAAATGGAAGAGGAAACTGTATCGTATATCAGAACAGCCAGCAGCAGCTTCTTCTCCTTTTGGAAATTTGTTAAAAGCATCAAAAATCGGAATATAGCTGAAATGGTAGAGGAAAGGGGAGGGATATACGCATAGGAATAACACGTGTGAATAGAAGTGGCACTACTAAAAAAATAACGTCGGCTACACAAGTATTAAAGTATACGCCAAAAACTATAGAAAAAATATATATTGCATATTTATTTTCCTTCTTCCTCCTTCCCAACTACTTTTATAAAAATTTTAATTGAATTTCGTCTTTAGATGCTTTAGTAAAATTAATTTCTTTTTTTGCTCGTCAAGTTTATTCTCTATGGCAACTTTTGTCAAACCTTTTTAAACTTTTTATATATATTTTATTTAATAAAATCTCTCTACCTTTAAAATAAAGTCTGTTATGAAGTGAGGAGAAGCTAGAAAAGAAACAAAAACCGAAAGCTTTAAGCTTTTGTTGAAGAAAATTCAACTCCAAAGGACAGCCCGGAATAGTAGAAATGTGAGTCGGGCCGCCATTAGTAAAGCTCTTAATCTCGACGTGGACAAAGTAAACTTTAACCATATTAAATAGTATGTTTAGTAGTAAAGTGAAAACTCAAACTTAAACTCTTTATAATTAATTCGGCTACCTTCGCTTATTTACAAAAGACAGCAGAAACCACGAACAACTAACTTCACAGCCCAAAGTCATATATTTTTAAATTTTTAGCTAAAGGAGTTGCGCAGGAATTCTAACTATAGCTTCTTGCAGCTTTCTCTTCATATATAAGTATACCAGATTCGGTTAACTAAGTATTAAAGAAGGAGGGGTTAGCTCGATTGTAAATGGCAAAAAGGAAGGCATTATATATAAATATGTTTGGATTTGAAACCTTAATAAAGGATTTGCTGCCCTTTAAGGAGGCCGTGGTGGGAAATCTAGCAATATATTTGTTAGAAATAGTTAACTTGTAACCCTTTACTATTAAAGAGTTCGGGTAAGTAATTATAACTATATACTATGGCTTCGATTAATTTAATATACTCCTTTATTAAAAGAGTTTCAGCTTAGTTTGTAAATCTAAGAAGCAATTGTTTTAGATAAATCTACAGTTCAATTATAAGTAAAAATTTTGTTTTTTTAACTAAATGACTTTTGATGCGTAGGCAATAATATGATGATCTTACACCTTCTTTTGTCGTTTTGTACAGTTTTGTTTACAAAATTTTAGTTTAGTTTCTTTTATTTCCCCAAGGAACTTTAAAACACCACGGAATT